TATTCTTACGTCCATGGTATGTGCCTTTCCTGGATACGATCCTGAAAAGGGCCCAGGCACTTTTAGCCGTTGATACACTGTTGGCGCGAATAAAAACATGGCGGAAAATTGAGAACGCCCAGATCAAAGGCGCCGACAGAGAGTGCAACTACTGGTTATACTGTGATACGGTCGCCGGCCAATTCATGAACTAAGTATGCGCGCTGGACTTCGAAGCGTCGTGCAACATACTTTTATTCGGACCCAAATTGGAACGTTTACTCCCACAATTCACCCTACACGTATATTAATTATGTATCAATATGTATGTATATACATTATATACGTACAATATAATTTTTTTACCACTTCCCAGTTTAAAGCCTTGTGTCCACGATCCAAGAACTGTGTCAAAGTTTTCTACTTTTGAAAAATGTGTAGCCAATCAACTTGCACCTCTTACGGAAGAGCTGCAAGTTGATTGGCTACACATTTCTCGAAACTAGAACTTGGACCAAGTCCTAGCATCGTGGACACAGGCCTTTGAAAATGAACGTAAGTCCATTCGTGCTTGAGATATTCTGGCACAAAGGAAACGGACACGAACGAAAGAAGAAATCACCACGCATTTACATTATTATTATAGTCACCCCTCAATTTGCTATTGTATAATGCAATAGAATGATATTATAACATGCTCTGTAACATGATATTATATTTTTTTACCGCTTCCTATTTTTAAAAATGTACGTAATTCCATTCGAGCTTGAGATATTCTGACACGAAGGAAGTGGATATGAACAAACGAAGGGACCAGGACGCATTTACAATACATTATTATTATAGTCACCCCTCAATTTGCTATTGCATAATGCAACAGAATGATATTATAACGTGCCACTATAACACACTATAACATGTCGTTCTGCAAAAGGGTCTAATAAACCAAATATAAAGTGATGCTTTAGTGTTAGACACACACACACACACACACACTTTGATATCAGCAAATTGATGGATTGACAGTGACGGTCGCGGACATCGTATAATTTTGTGTTATTTGCACCACGACTTGTACGTTGAGAAATCAATAACACACATAGCAAGTGTCATTTTGTCGTAGTCTTTCAATGGGGAAACAAGACGAATAATCATGCTAGAGAATTTTCTGCGAGAATATAATGTCAATCGGGTATTTCTGTCGATCACAGGCCTTTGGCCGTTTCAAAGCAAATCCGTGAGAAACTTCTTACGAACTTTCTTCTTTCTGCTCGAAATAAGTTATTTTTTTTTCGAGGTAACGCACGAACAAACAACATATTTTACATCGAGGAAAAACGTCTAATTGATGTTTATAATTTTAAGTCTCATTTTTTAATATTTATTAACACAATGTATTCTACATCGAATCTGACGAATCTTGTATGTGTGAACGTTTCTGTCATGAAAAATTGATAATATTTTAATAAAATGATTAATAAACTGATTAAACGTACGCACAAAAGTTAAACTAGTCAGCATTTAATTGATCGTGTACATGCGTATATATTTGTAACATATTTTACGGATGATGATTCGACAGATAATGTTGCAGATAATGTTGTTGTACGATTATTGGGACAATCCGCAAATGATTTTTGACGGCAGCTATCAACTGGCGATGTCGCTCTCTTTCGTCGGGAGGCAAGCAAATGAGTTTTGGAATCGCGACAAGGTAAGTTTTTACTATAACGTGTTACATTTACCTTATGTTTACTGCGATATAACTCCTTTCAGACCTAACATGTTAAACCGTTTCCATGTTTGTTGCGATCAGTTGCGACGGTTGTACCTAACCATTGACGAGCATTGGAACATATTTACGAATGATGTGGAGATTCGAGTTATGAAAGATTATTCTATGCTATCACGAAAATTTACGAAATATTACTCAAGTAAGTATATTACGTTGCAACAATAATGTTGGACGTATTAGTGTCACATGCCGACAAAATAGAGTAATATAATATAAGTAAAATTTTTATTACCTAAAAGAACTCGAGATTATATAAGCTGCAGTGATATTTAATTTTGAAATTGACACAAGCTATTTAAGAAAAAAGGTGTTTAATAGGGTGTTCGAAACGGCGTTTGATAAGAGATTGTCAAAAGAGACGTTAAATAGTGACGTATAAATATTTTTGATTAATGTTATTGAATATGTTTTATGGAATATTGCAGGGTTGATGTATAGCATAATGATAATATTAGTAACATTACCATTAACACCATTATTGCTAGACATCGTAGCGCCTCTTAACGAACCACGTCCGCGATTTTTTGCGGTCGAAATCAACGAATTCAGGATGAATAAAGATGATCACTTTCTACTAATTTTTTGTTATACTAGTGTTGTAATTGTGGTAGGCGCAAACATCGCGATGGGCGTTGATACAATGCATGTCGCGTGCACTGCTCATGCATGTAGTTTATTTGCCGCTATCAGGTACATTGTAGATATGGTATTTAATAATTTAAGGCCTAACAACACTCTACAGCCTGAAAAAGGGCCAATTTCCGGTGACTTTTTCCAGGAATATAATAAACGTAAATGAAAATCTGTTTATACGTATTTATTTTCTGTACATTGAAGTATAAAAAAATTTACAACATTTTTTTACACTTCAATGTATAGAGAATAATAAGGATTAAGCAGATTTTCGTTTATGTTTATTATATACCTAAAAAAAAATCACCGAAGACTGGCTTTTTTGGGGGCTCTAGAGTGTGTTAGGCCAGTACATGTAAAGTGCACACACAAACACAATAAAAATGTGTACTGTTATCATAATGTTTTAAAAACCCTAAATAACATACTTTTATATACATTTCCTGCATTTGTGTTTCATAATTGTGTTATATATTTCGTATATTTCGATCATGTACACACATATTTTACTTAACTTTTGCGAGATATTACATTTTCAGTAAACAAATTGAAAATATAACTTCAAAAGCAAACAATCAACATATCAATGAAATCAGAGAACGTAAATATTGCATGAATATGAAACTTGATCCATTAAATGAGGAAATAATATACCGGGAATTCGTATTATGTTTAAAGAAACACCAACTTGCTATAGAGTAAGTAGGTCTTGTTAAATTGTTCCTTAATTGTCTCTCTATTTACAAAACGCCCCCTCCTCCACCTCTCTCTGTATATGTGTATTATTAAATAGTGTTATTTTGTTACATAAGTTAATTTGCTAGTATCTATTTTAGATTTGTTAATACATTGGACTCGTCATATCAAGGGATTGCATTACTTTTGTTAATCTTGCTTATTGGAACTATAAGTTTAATTGCAGTCCGAGTACGTATTAGAAACTAATAATCACGTAAAATGTCATATAAAATATAAATATACACATAATTATTTGGGTGGTTGCATATGAAACCACCCAATACAAAGTAATCAAAATTGTAATACAGTCAGGTTTTCGTTCTTCTAGTCTCTGAGAATAATTTTTAATATGTGACTTTCTCTTAAAACTCATAAGATTCTAACAATTCACGTTTTAATTTTGTCAGTAAAAGTAAATTGACCAAGTGGATCTGATGATAAAAAAATACACAAATCAAATTTGTACAAAGAAAAACAAAATTCCGATTAAAATGTAACAATTTTTCAATATTGATAAGAATTAGATAAGAAATGAGACAATTATAGCCTATATTTTTAATTTTAATACATATTGTTCTCCGTCTTACATTAAATTTACTATTTCTTAAATAAAATTCAAATGTTTTGTCTTACAATATGTAAACTTACATTATTGTTAATATAACTATAAAAATATAACTATACTTTGCAAAATAATGTAATACTTGTAATTATAGATCGTTTATGTGTTGAACCAAGTGGAGGAAGTGATAAAATTCATGTTTATATTCACAGCATGTCTGGTGACTTTGATGATTGTATCCTACTCTGGTCAAAGATTAATAGATGAGAGTCAGAATATATTCCATCGGGCGTAATACTCATTTTTTACTTTAATATACTGACAGTTCTAAAGATCATAACGCTTCTAAACAAAATTAAGAATAATTTAGCTATAAGAGTTTGTAAGATCTGTGAAAAAATTTAATTAAAAAATTTAACTTAGCATACTTTTAATAGAATACACAGTCAAAAAATATAATTAACACACATGAAAGATCAGTATTTAATATAACTACTTTAATGTGCAAAGATAACTATTTTAATATTTTGCAAATTTATTGTTAATAAATGTTATATAAAAAATTCAGTTGAAACCTGTTATTGATTTATAGTATGCTTACAGATACGCTGCAGAATGGTACATGTTCTCGCCTAGACTGAAATCTTTACTGATAATAACTCTTTACAGAAGTAATATACCATGTGGATTGAAGGCAGGCAATATGATTCCATTATCCATCGCGACCTATGCGGCGGTATGTAAAATGCGCAAAACTGTCAAGCTTTATACAATTACACATATATTTACATTATATGTATATATATATATATATAACTTACGCTCTTTTTGTATTTCGTTTAAGGTAGTACGAACCGCCATGTCATACTTTACAGCGTTTACATCATTCAAAGAGTGATTTTTTATTAACTTTTCACTAATATGCCTTTGTATATTTGATATACCATGATTTTAACATCAATACATTGTATTTCGATGATATCTGCATTCGGTTTACAATTTTTCTCTATTCTCTGAATTATTCAATTATACGACATGTAAACTTCGACCATACTTGATTTCATCATCTACTTTCGAAGATTCATTATTTGCAGTATAACTGCAGTACCAAAAACAAATTGAAAAACATTCTAGCAAAGAAGAGTTTTTAATATAATCGGAAAGAGAGAAAAAACTAGCACGCGTCTGCATTACTATTATTGTCATCTTCAATTATCTTGTCACGCTACGTTCTAGACTACAATGTGCTTATACTATACTTATGGAACCATAACGTGGCATACCAGGAAGGTATATAACAGAAGATAGTGAAAATAATAGTTCGGTAGTTTAGTATCGTGTTCGATAGAGGTACTCTATCATCAGAGAAATACGTTAGACATTGCCATTGATGTCACACGACGTTGACAATTACTGATATCGTACGATATACAGGGTGGTCCATTTTAATCGACAATCGGAAATATTTCGTTAGGTAAGCCAGATCGAGAAAAATGTTTCAAATAAAAGTTGTATGGTTTTGAGGACATAAGGTGGTACAATTGGCTCGATCTTGGATAATCATTTAATGGTCATGCAAAGGTGACCTTAAATTTTTTTAATGGAACCCCCTACTGTTCATTATATATCTTATTCTAGGCCCTCCACTACCCCCGCCGAATTCTTCCCGGCGGTCCTCTTTTCTTTGCAATAATTGTAAATTACGTCTATATCATTTATTATTTTTAACCGTGTAATAGGTACACAATAATACGTAACTCTTACGATGTAAAACATTAATAAAAGCAATGCTACACACGAACTGTGGCTATTGTGTAACATTTTTTATTAATGTACAAATGAAAAGTCAAATTGTAAAGTTCTAAAATCTGTCGATCAATTACAAACGAAAATTTATGGATTAAAAGACTCTGTGAATCCACTTCAACTAAAATTTTATTCTCGAGATAAAAACTCGATCTATAGAGGCCCTCCACCACCCCCGCCGATTTCGATCGGCGGTCCTCTTTTATTTACAACGTAATTTTTTTTACAATTTTCTTATTTATTTCACGTTTCTTATAATTCACTTTACAATGTATACAATAATATAAAATAAATAATTACATTATAAAATTAAAAATATAATATCTGTACAATACAATATTTTTGTCGACATTACATATAAAATATTCGGTATGCATACATTAACATGAAATTCTTGCAATGTAAAATATATACATCTTACATGTTTGAGATAAAAAATATCCCAAATGTATTTATTAATGATCTATAAAAAGTAAATCAGATCTACAAAACTTTCAAGTAAATTTCAAGTAAAAACTTAACAAACGCATGACAACTTCCATCTTATTATATGCATCCGATTGCAAATATAATTATATTTAATAGTAATACATTGCAGTTATAATTTTATCTATCTTTTTAATTATCGAGTTATGTCCTCCTGTCCTACCTACCCGTATTCCGCTGTATAGTCCTATCCATTTTCCTACCTACCCGTGTTTCAACTTAATAAACCTGAGTCTTTTATTAAAACCGCGACGCGATTTATGAAAGGTTCGATTTGGGATTATATGCGCGCGATTGGGATTTAATAGGGGCCTTTTCAATCTCGCACACATATGCGAGAACATGCATATAATGAAGAATAACCCACCCGAATTTTGACAAATGAAAGAAATCAAATTATTTTGTGTATCACTTTACACACTCTATCAGAGTGGCCAATATTGACCACTTGTACTGTCGTATCCAGTCTTCCATCGTTGGGCCAGATTGGACATACCTTTCGTTGCTCCTGGCCATACAGTCTGGTCATTTTGACCAGAGATCAGGAAGGAAGAAAACTCCTTCCTGATCGGTTTATCACCGACAGACATTTCGCACGGTTCGAACTAAATGCGAGCGTCGATCGTATCGAAAAATGCACGACCACGAGAGAAGTTATTCAAAGAAGAAACGTAATTAAAAAAAATTTTATGTATTAAACTGATCAAAGTATAATTTTACTTCCGTTTTCAAGACTATTGAACGTCTCTTCGTGACTCGATCTTTGAATATAAAATCAAGCACATCAATATAGAAAAACATTTTACTTCGCGTTATATTTCTTTAATTGTATTCCGCGATAAATTAAAATTTACAATATGGATGAAATTGAACAATTAATAATTTTTGGAAACTTTTTTAAAAACTAATCGCGAAAAACCGACCGCGAAAAACTACACCCTCAGAAAGGATTTCTGTTCCTGAGATAAAAAATATTCTTGACACATTGATTTTTCTCACAACCTCATTTAGTATAAAAATAAGACAATATCAATAAAATAAAATCAACAATTCTTATTCTCCTCTATCGAATTAAAAAGGATTGACTTGCTATATACATATTGAGACAAGAGTAACTTATATAAATGTAATTTTATATATTCTTGTGTTTAGAATAAATTTTCCCTCCATCTTACAACGCACGAAGTTGGCACCACGATATTCAACAAAAGACGATACATATTATCATTTTATTCCAAATTTTAGAATTTTTCATTTAAGATTAAAATATTCCTTTCTCTATAATAAATATGATAGGCGCCTTATTGATCCTATTTTATGATACATTCATGTGTAATAGCAATGGATCCGGAAATTTTTTCTGTGGGTGTATGCATGTATTCATGCGAGATGCATCTTGAAAGTGTATCGCGAGACACACGTACATACAGAATAAATGACGTGAGACCCAGAGAAAAGGTAGATACAATTGAACATTCAATCTCAAATAACATATGAAAATAATATAAAGTTTCAGCGGTCTCGACAAAATATTCGAATCTCACGTCATAGTTTTTGACTTTACATACATGTATAAATTTGCTACTGAAAAATAGATAGAATAGGTTACAAGAGATTAGCTCGACGAATACATCAATAATATTCGTCATATTCTGCGTGAAAATATGTGACGTGCTGCAACGGAGCACTCAACCCTTTACAATGGCAATCGCGATCACTCCCATTCGATAGATGAAATATGTTAAAGTAAACTTGAAATTATGTCGTAATCTATCTATTTTTAGGTAACGAATCTCCAGAATATATCAATCTATGATCTACTTTCTACGATCTACGAGATTCGTTACCTGAATAAAAAAACTACTCACTCACCGACCGATGCGCAGCAGCGGAGTTGGCTACGTTGAATCTGTAACACAAATATAGAATGCGTTAAAGCAGTGTTCAATGTGAAAAATAATATTGTAAAATACATTTGCAAAATATAGTTATCGCATAAGTAATTCTTACGCGTATCAAACTTTATTCGATTAAATGTTTAAACGATTAACGCGCGAAAGATTCTTCGCAAAAGATCTTCACGAGAATAAACTTATAAAATTTTTAATGCTTTCTTGTTCTCTAATTGTTATTTCGAAATGATTGAATTATGAGAGAAAACGACTCAAAACTAAACTGGAAAAGATTACTTTTACACAAAATAAAAAATAACATTTACCATAAAGTTGCTCCGCTGGCGCCCGATGCCTCTCCAAAGCCTCCTCCTCCACTCAGACTGTCCTTTGGCACACTCGCGAAAACACAAAGATCGTTCGCGCGATTTTACACTACCGTTTATAAAGCCCGTTTGAAGGTATTCTGTTCCGTCAAGTTCGCCTCCACTTCGAGTCGACGAGTATTATATCCCAAAAACTGTCAATTCTCGAAAGTGTGGCCATCGACAGGAACGGACATTTTACGAATACTTGTTCCTCAAATGGGCTTTGAAAAGTCTTCGATTCGATTATTCAAACGGCACTCCCGAACGCGACGAAAACGGAACACTTCACGTTATACGCGCACTTATGTTCTTCACTTATCGCATTTTCTCTTCGAATTACGCGTGATATTCATCTCGACGAATCACGTAGAAATCAACGGTATGATTACGGATCGCGACAATTACTTAAACGCGACTGATAAACGTTAACATCTCTCGTACGAGACGATCGAGATTCACGTAGGAAATGATCGCGTTACGGGGAGCGACGCGAAGACGCGCGGAACACCCGCCTCGCTCGACTGAATCGCGCCGAATGACAAACTGTTTTTCGACCGAGGGTTTTTCCACGGCGCTACGTCATTTCTTGGAACCCGTGCTCGGCCTTCGACCGAGTTGTTTTTCACGGCGCTACGTCATTTCTTGGAACCCGTGCTCGGCTTTCGACCGAGTTGTTTACAACGCTCGGGCCATAGCGCTACGTCATTTCTTGGAATCCGCGCCTCGGCCTACGGCAAAACAAAGTCACGCCGTACGCAGGATCGGCAGGATCAGTCACGCGGCGACAGTTGAACGTCGGCCACCCCCGCGCCGTTCCGCATATCGCATTGTTCATTCTTTATACGCGTTCGCAGAAGTACGGGAAGAAACCGCGATCGCGAATAATCAGTGATCGACATCGTCGCGCGATCGCTGAATCCCCGCGACGTGTCATCGATACTCGGTTAACCGCAGATATCTCGTGCAGATCACACATGAGATCTGTACCAAGAATCGAAGCGCTCGCTAATGTGAAATTACTTGTTCATTGTTCAGTGATTCGGTGACAGTGAAAATCAAAGAGTGACATTCGGATACAGTGACTTTTTGCGAGTGTGTCGCGGGACCGCTGAAACGAGGACATCTGACAATGAGAGGAGATCACCTGAATAGAGGAGACTAGAACAGGCATCGTGCTCAGAATCAACGCAGAGACAACTCCGCTGCTGTGCATATCATGTGAGTGAGAAATTTTTGTATTGAGGCAACGGAATCTACATTTCGTAGATCGTAGAGTGATACATTTCGTAGATCGTAGATTGATACATTTCGTAGATCCGTTGCCTTCAAATGGATAGGTTACAAATAATTTCATGTTTTATTTAATCTGTCGAAGAGAAGAGTGATTTCACAAAGCTCTACAAATCCGAGTATATCGAACTCATTTTTCGTGTTGAAAATCGTTAAACTACATCACAGAAGTTACGCGAAATATAATTGATGTATTCGGTCAACTATAAATCTCTTCCCAGTGAGAAATGATTCGTCGATCGACGTCGGAACGACGTCGAATCGACATCGACACCGTCGAATTGGCGTCGATTCGACATCATTTCGACGTCGATCGACGAATCATTTCTCACTGGGTTAAATTGTAACCTATCCATTTTAACGAATTGATATATGTATAAAATAAAATAATATGACGTAAGATTCCAATATATTTTGTCGAGAACGCTTAAATTTTAAATTCTTTTCCTACTTTATTTGAGATTATTGGATTAACTGTAATATTCAATTATAATATCGGTATCGCTCATGCGGCAAGTTTCTTTTTTTCTAAATCTTACGTTATTTATTCTGCATGTCTCGCTATTTTCAAAATGCGTCTCGTGTGAATTAATACATGTATAGTCACACGCATCTCGTATTTTTGCGGTTGATTTTCGCGATCAGCTTTTCACAAAATTTTCAAGACATTACTTACTAATTGTTTAATTTCGTCCGTATTGTAAATTTTAATTTATCGCGGAATACAATTAAACAAATATAACGCGAAGTAAAATTTTTTTCTATATTGATGTGCTTGATTTTATATTCAAAGATCGAGTCACGAAGAGACGTTCAATAGTCTTGAAAACGGGAGTAAAATTATACTTTGAACAGTTTAATACATAAAATTTTTTAAAATTACGTTTCTTCTTTGAATAACTTCTCTCGTGGTCGTGCATTTTTCGATACGATCGACGCTCGCATTTAGTTCGAACCGTGCGAAATGTCTGTCGGTGATAAACCGATTATGGAAGGAGTTTTCTTCCTTCCTGATCTCTGGTCAAAATGACCAGACTGTACGGCCGGGAGCAACGAAAGGTATGTCCAATCTGGCCCAACGATGGAAGACTGGATACGACAGTACAAGTGGTCAATATTGGCCACTTTGATAGAGTGTGTAAAAGTGATGCACAAAATAATTTGATTTCTTTCATTTGTCAAAATTCGGGTGGGTTATTCTTCATTATATGCATGTTCTCGCATGTGTGTGCGAGATTGAAAAGGCCCCTATTAAATCCCAATCGCGCGCACATAATCCCAAATCGAACCTTTCATAAATCGCGTCGCGATTTTAATAAAAGACTTTTACGTTTATTAAGTTGAAACACGGGTAGGTAGGAAAATGGATAGGACTATACAGCGGAATACGGGTAGGTAGGGATTATTCATGGTAGGACAGGAGGACATAACTCGATAATTAAAAAGATAGATAAAATTATAACTGTAATGTATTACTATTAAATAGAATTATTCATGCACATAGCACGGAATACAACCGAAACGTGCACCATCCGCGTTATCCGCTTAGTCTTCTCTCTATTTATATGCACTTACGCAAAAGCGTGTGCTCCTGCCATTACTCGATCGAGGACTTCACCGAGCTCAATACACGCTCAAAGAACGCCGATCTAGCAACATTACTTTCAAAATTTCTAGATATTTTAACTAATAATTTTTTACTGGTTTATTAAAATTTTAACTAAATTGCATTTATCTACGAATTTCACATTGCGATCGATTAGTTGGTTGTTAAATTATTAAAAATACAAAATCCTTTTAATCAATTATGTTGAGTTTACGTATACGTGAAATAGAAATAAGATTATAGCGTTCTGTTTCGATGACACAGGAAATAAGTTGACAAAAGCTGCGATTATAAAAAAATGTTTTATATTCGTGAAATATACAATGTTTAGAATTTTTAGAATCTTTTTCTTTCATTATATATTTCTTTCGTTCCTTTTTGGAATGACCAAATTTTGGCGTAAAATCGCAGTTTTAGAATCGCATGAAGGATAACAAGTTGAATAATGGACGAGACGGCGGTTAATATTCACTAAAACCACCCATCTTGATTCGAAACGACTGAAGAACTCGCGAATTAATTATAAGATCGTATTATCATTTTAATTAGCATAGATCACGTAACAATTCACGATTTCAAAAGGAGAACGTTCCAGAGTACGATGTGGCGGCGTCATAGATGAAGGTATTGTGAACGGGCTTATACTGGTTCGTGACCAGCTTGATGGCTTCTTGCGCCGCAAGCCCGCCCAGAAATGCCGAAACGGAATGCAATTCCGCGCCGCCGAATCGGCAGAGCTCGTGCACGTAATCGTCTTTGGCTAACGGGCCGCATCCCCATTCGCTCAACAGTTTCGTAAGGCATGTCTGTAACACGACTCGATTGCAGATTAATTGTCACGCAATAATTACATTATACATACAGGGTATTCGAAAAGAATGGGATCCCCCTATTATCTCTAGAAGTACACATTTTCGCATTCTTATCGAATACCCTGTATAAAAAAAAAGCCAGCACCTTAAGCTTCACGATATCGGGCTCCACTTGATCGTCAAATTCGCCGGGATACGAATTGTACTCCGCCTGAAATTTATCTACTCCACGGAGCATGACATAATAAATCATCATACTCTCTGGATTTTCTAAATTTTGAACTGCAAAACATGAGGAGTCGTTAAAATCAGTTACTTGATCAATAATTATTAATTGCGAGGAAAAATTATATAAAAAGTTGCAATTATAATTCTTCCTTCTTATGGTGCAATTAATTTTTTCTTTCTATCATTGAAGTGACACAAGAACTTGTTTCATAACTACAAATCAATTAGAAAATATTATTTTACATTTGCCGCGCGAAAAAAAGATAATTACCTATGATATTAGTATCGAAAACTTTAGGATCGTACTCGTCTGCGATACAGCTGCCTTTTTCTACATAGATGTTAGACGCATGCCTGCAAAATAGCTTGACATCCTTTTCCGTGATTGAATCCGACGATCTTCCCAGTTGACGCAGCAATTGCAACGTGCGCCTCCATACGGCTTCCGCGTCTGCCGATGCTTGTTTATGGTAACTGAAATCGATTCGGTATTAACGCGCGTTAGATTACAACAGATTGAAAAGTAACGCACGAAAATGTATTTCAATCCTAGTGTACATCCTTGAAAAAAGTTTAAGCAACGTGTTCTTTTTAACGTTACTACTAGGATTATATTATAATTGAAATGGTAAATAAACATACAATAACTATTTAAATCGAATATAACATTTGTTATACCTTTTACTATTAATAAACTTACTAACAAAACACTTTGATCGAGGGATAAATCACTGAGGGCATTGCGGTATACAGATTTGTGGAATTACCGGGAGTTACTACGATTTGCGCTTATAGCGCTGTAAGTGTCGTTCGATCTTAGTTTAATATTTAATGTGCAACGAAGACAAATTGACGCTACGTGAATCGAATCGCGGTCTAGGTATTACTAGGCAATTGTTGGGCATCAGTTCGGGCATTGGGTCTTACTGGGACATTATAAAGATAAAATAAGCTAAAACAAGATAATAAGATAAGGTAATGCCCACCGGGCATTAGTAGGCATTGGTGTACATGATTTTGGCCAGCGGTTACCCCTCGACTTTAACTTGCATTGCACACAGAAGACCGAGTTACTTTTTCGTGCATCATCATCCTACAAGTACTTGTCCCTTCGGGATCAATATTATACATACATTTGTTGGAGCGCAATGTATTTTTCAGTGTCCGCAGTCATGTCGGGTATGGTGCCCCTAAGTGGTAGTAATCCTTGGCCTTCGTTATCAATGAAATCGCGCACTGCTTTCGCGATTATCCAGAAGGAGCTGCTCTAAAATATATCGATTAATTTGAACGCATATGTCTTCGAACGACACGATTCTGAATCGTACAGAATATTTCGTCGATACCTTCGCTGTCAAGTTGACGCAACGATCGTCGTTCAAGATATTTATAACGCTATCGGGAATATCGCTCGCTTTTATACATTTATTTACAGCCTTCATAGCTTCTTCGAAGTTCTCCTCGCTATTAGACGAGTCGTGCTCGTCGCGTCTCATGCCACTCTTTATCATTTTCACGAGCTGCTGCTTCTCCTTGTAAGTTTTCGGCAGAGCGCCGTGCACCGAAATCCACTTTTCTAAGTATTTGTACAGGATAATTAGGTACGGTACGTGGCAATGATCCTTAAAGCTCATTTCATCTAGATTTATGGAATCTACGTGCTTCTTCAAGCCATCAAACGGTCTGTCTAGTCGCAAATCTGACGTTTCATTATCCGGATGGGTCTCTATAACCGAGAGCTCGTTCACTTGAATTCGCATATACGCGATAAACCCTAAGCTCCTACACACTACCAGAGGAATATTCAGTTCCCAGAGTCTTTTCGACAGGAGAATCAGCGTTCTGAAAATATTTCCAAGAATGCATTTATCGTTGTTGTCCCAATCGCCAGAAGCGACACTTGAAGATACGTCGCATACAGCATTGCTAAATTTTCCGTTGGTTGTATTTGCATTCTTACTTTTCGGTCAGTGCGGTCACCACTACCACGGTGAAGTTGTTGAAAAAGTCCGGGCTGTTGGATAAGATCTGTTCAGGCTCCTCGTCGATGTAATCGCCGGTCACGTCTGGATTCAGCTCCAAGAGCAGTTGAGTGGCCACTTGCGCCCTGGACTTTCCAACGCTGTCCGGTTCTAGAAAGAAGCTAAGTCGAATCCACTTAATACGTTTCGTCGCGAGCAGCGCCTCGAGATTCTCTAGCAGTGGCGGGATATTCGCGCACGTACTTAGCTTCGATGTCCTCGCCGGTGACCTTCTTGCCGTCGACTATGGTGAACGCTCCTATGCCTGGAAGCACTAGCGACTTCAGCACCTCCGTGCCGAGTCCGGTGGCGTTTATCAGACAGACATGAGCAGCCTCCAGATTCGCTTGACCATGGTCACCCCACAATCTGTCAGGCATGAGAATCATAACAATGTAAGAGGATTGTAACAATTGAAAATATTTCACGCGTCGCGTAAGAGAAGAAAGCGAACTTTTAAGGGGGGCGGGGGGCGAGCGACTGAGGTTAAGACCGAATTCTCGATCCGATCGAAAACGCAGGGAGGTAAGCTGGGGCTACCGGTCATAACCTCAAAGTACACAACTGCTGATCAGCTTACCTCAATTGGCGATCGTACTTTCGGTTCTTCTCGGACTGCTCGGGCGATTTCGACTCGGGGGACGCCATCGGGGGAGACGAATCTGAGAGAAGTAGCGCACCAGGAAACGCCTCGAGACACGCACAGCCGCACGAAAACAGCGGCGACTGACCGCAACTTAACGCGTGCGTGGATGACGGGTGGGGAGACTTTGCTCGCGTCGTTCGCGTGCATGTAGAGGAAAGTCCCCTATTATGAGATAGGGGGGGGTTTCTGTTAAATTAATAGACATCATCCGTTGATTCCACCAAGAACTTATTGCCCTTGGAGTGAAATCTGTTTAGTGGAAAATTCATTGTTTGATCGTGTAATTGTCGCGTAAGAAGATTTGCGATTGAATTCGGGTGATGAAAACCTGCTGTCTCATAATAAGGGACTTTCCTCAAAGTCACATATAAACCTATCTAGTTTCGGAACGAAGTACTTCCCATATCTTTAAAATTGCAACACGGACAGCGCGATAAAAGATTTAATTACGATACTATAAGTGTGTTCTGTCTTGAGAACACTGAGTGATCTGAGAATTTTATTATTCCCACAGGCAGTTGTTGCGCGCACGAGATTTCCTCTTTCGAGAATTTTATGAACACAATTGCCCGAGAAACTAGTACTTTTGTCGGGAATTTATTATTATTAAATTATTGCACTCCTTAGTATTCGTTGCAATTTTTATTAAAATATTCATACGTGTCATGTATCAATATATAATATGTACAATAACTTCATACAACTCACAAGTATTCTACTATTCTTTTTAAGCAAATCTATTCAATACGCCATAATCTTTATTCCGAATCTCAGTCTTTTTCGATGGTGTTGCCTTCTGTTCTTCACGAAGCGTTTGAATCATTTCCTAAAAGTGACAATTTATATCGTTTAATGTCCAATTTATGAGAAATCCAATTTCAAGTTAATGCAGAATGCTTACCCGACGACTTAGATCTTTCAGTATCTTTTTAGTCTTTATTATTTTCGCGGTGCCACCTTTCCCTTTACTTTTCGTCCGTCGAGGCTCAAAGTTGATTGGCTTCGGTTTAATATACTGAAAAGGGCATTGTTAAATGTTGACTTATAACCATACCAGTTATAAAATAATTTAAACATATTTTCGTATCTTATTTACCAAATGCTTCTTCTTCGCTTCTACTGTCTCCTTGTACGTAGGCACATCAACTTCGAGTATCTCGGTCGAGTCGAGCGTAATCAATTCCGGTTGTATCTTTTCCAAAAGTGCCTTCACTTCTGTCTCTCGTCTCTGACTCTTAGTTAGGAACGGATTAGCCTCGTACGCGTCGTAGTTCGCTTCCGCACTTCCCGGCACCAGCAGCGACGAAAATTCGTTCGCCGTAGAAATCCCCAGGAAGTCTTCGTACGGGCAGAATTTCACGCAGTTCACATTGCGAGCAGTTCTATGTCGCAAATATGGCTTGAAATCGCCAGAAGTTTCCCTAATATAAAATTAAATGCGTACGAATAAGAACCTCGCCGGTTGTGTCGCGTCAACTTGATCAACAAATTACCTATAAACTTCAACTACGTTGCCCATTCCGAGTGCAAGCAAACCACGCTGACTGTACGACATACGATGAGCGGGCGAACGAAGGTGTAAGTGGCTCACCGGCCCCTGTAACTGCCTAATATCCCATATTTTCACCGATTTATCTATAGAACTGGTTGCCATGTACGTCCCACTTGGATGAATAGCGCACGTCATAATTGACTGATGATGGCAGAGCATTTTCGCCAATGGTTTGTAAGAGTTTGGAGACCACATAGACACTACGCCTTTCGAGTCGCCCACGCATAGCAATGCGTTACTCGGATTCTGCGTCATCACCTGTCGTGAATTAATGGTTGTCTGTGAGGATCTGGGACACGATAATATAAAGGATCGAAAACAAACGTAATCGTTTACAGAACTCACGGATATTCTACCCAAATTGGAGTTGTAACGCGAGACCATCTTGCCAATGGACACATCCAACCAAGCCATGTGACCGTCCTTCGATCCGCTGGCAAGCAAAAAGTGATACGGCAAAAATTCCAATCTCGTCACGCCGTTCATCCTTTTCAGGCAATGCAACTCTATTCCCTGATTGTCGTACACGTAAACCCAATCCTTCTGCGCCACCGCAAACATAGTCTCCAGATGCAGCCACGTGACATCGTGCACGGACTCCATCACGTTTATCTCGCATGCCAGCTTCTTTGTCACCCAGTCGAAAGCTGCCACGTGACCTTGGTTTCCACCCAAGAGCAGGTGTCTGCCATTTCTGGTATACCTAAAGCAGTACGGGCCGAACTGCAGGTCCAGCTTGAAACGCTTCGCCGCGCTCGTTATGTCCACGTTCTCTGTTATTTGCCTCTGTCGATACTCGGTAGTGACTTCTCCCAATTCCGCTTCCATGTAGCCATGTTCCTCCGTCAACAGCAGTTCCGCCCGAGCAGAAGCCTCTACCTGCTCCGTTATGGCCTGCTCTTTCTGCTTCAGTTTCTTTCGCAGCACTTTGCTCTTTATCGCACTCGTCTTTCGTGTCAAGTCAAGTCCAGGACCCCTGGAATGCTTCGCTAATACGGTCTTGTTAACCGGCACCTTTTCAGAGTGCTCGTTCTTTCTTTTACCCATTGGTGCCTTTCCATGGTATCTTTTAGCCACTGAAAATGATATAAACATAATATTGAATAATTAAAACTTCAAATAAGACTTGGAAAATAGTATAATATAATTAATTTATATTTTACTTTCACATTTGCAATACAATACTCTCTCTCTCTCAGATTTACAACTGATTTATTTAAAACAGAAATAAGTATCTCTCTCCAATTTAATTATATGCAATTTTCTACAAATTTATTGCACCTACATTTTTCTGTACACGTGAGTTAACCTAACCTAACCATACTATATCTATTCGAACTCGTGCACATCGTTGATCGCGTCAACGAGAAAGAAAAATAAAGATCGAACTACAAAAACTGATTTCACTACTCGTACCTGGAGGCGTCATCGTGACTTTTATTGTAATCACGTCTCAACTTCCGACAACAATATACATTACAACCGATCACAACCACTGGTGAATTGGTGTTGAAGAAGTTCATCACGAGGACGAGGGCGCTAGTGCATAGCGGAATTCTTTGGGCTACGAAACAATTAAGTCCGGTTTTCATGAAATTCTAAAAAAAATTTACGAAATTCTAACAGCTCTTACCTATAGTACAATAAATTGGCGTAACATTGGGAAACAATGTAAATCTAGTATTCCCAATATTGGTCCAATATTGTGAGATGGACGCCTTCTATTATTTAGCCAATATGACTATCTAACAATATTGGTTTAATATTGTATCAATATTAGACCAGTATTCTTATTACGTTGTTAAATATTAGCCAATGCACTTTCAATATAATTATTATCGTGCAATATTTACATTTATTCCATGGCCAATATTGGCTTTACGTTGGACAGTATCGACCAATGCAGTTCTAATGTAACAATATTGGACCGATGTTTAGCAAATGTTTAGCTAATGCACTGTGCTACTAGGGATAAGGTATCATAACGATAAGGGAGTCGATTCTGTATCTTGCACTATAGTGAAAATGCTAAAAGTGAATAGCTTTGTCTCATTCTAACCGTCCCCTTAAAAAGAGACAAAGCCGCTTTTAGCATTTTTCCTATATTGTAAGATACAGAATTGACCCCAGGGGTCAAGTACACAACCGGTAAATCATTGGCGGTACTTTTCAAAAGGACGAAGTATCGAGAATCGACGGGGCGATTCGATTCGATTCGCCGTTCGATATTTCGCGCGCGCCACGTGCGCCCAATGGCGAGTCGTTATAGCGCGGCCGACGATCGCTGGCGTTTGCAGTTGTCTTCGATCAATCGCGGTGAACGTTACGTGCCTTGACTGAATAACGTCATGTTCAAGACGTGAGTAACGCATAATAAGTAGCCGCGCGACGATACACTCTCCTCCGGCCTGTCAAATCTCGCGCGATTCTACATCGAAAGTAAAATCCGCGCCGGTCATTTTTTTGTATCAATGCGATTTATTATTAATGCGGTAATCACGTTACTGACATTCATCTAGCAAAAGTAATAACCGGACGGACAGGACGGAGACGTGGGTCGCGCGAGTCCAAGAGTGAAATTCGGCGTCAACAACCCATACAGCACACAAATGTTGAATCAACACCTCAAAAACGTTTCTTTGCAACATTGCAATATTGCATCATTGTTACGAAATGTAGATTTAACGTTGAAAAGATATTGTAAAAACGTCTAATGTCCGCTGAACTGTAATTTCTTGTAAACGTTACAATTCAACATTCAGAAAACATTGTTAAATCATATTGAGTTAACATTGGTCGCGTTTAGCAGAATATTTCTTACAACTGTTGGAAGTGCTGAAATTGAATTATTCCACTAAAATAATAATCCAATCTTAGCTCAGAAAATTTCTGACCGTTGGAAAAATATTGTATATATGTATATATGTACAGTTTATAATTATACACTTTTTAAGTATCTATTTGAGTGTCAAAAAATAATACTTTGTTCAAGATTGTCTTAACGTTGCAGCAATATAAAGAATTAATATACAAACATTGACCTAGATTCAACGTAGAAAAGATATTTATACTTCAACATTCAACATCGCAACGTTTCAGCAACATTATTTTAACTTTCTGTGCTGTATGGACAAGTGTCGCCGTTTGTGTCGTCAATGCGAACCGTAACGCCGGTGATATTTATTCAGAATCGTTAATTTTTTCTTAAAAAAACATACGCACGCAATTCATTAACGTAATAATGATATTAAATCTCGGTTCCGTGCACATTATGCCGTGTATTACATAAACAGCGTATTTCTATGAAATCGAAAGATTAAAGACTGAAATTAAAAAATTCAAATAAAATAAAATTAAATTAAAAGAGGAAAATTATTTCATTTAGAAATAAGAGACTTTTGTTTATGCAAACTGGGTCAAATTATTGTTTAACACGTTACGTAATTAGAATTTAATTTATGCAGTTTTAGTACTTCAATGAATAGAATTTTGTCAGAAGGAGGAGATAAGTTTTTCAGTTCAATCTCTTTTAAAATGTTTGCACTTAAGCCATTTAAATGTCCGCATATGTTTATATGAAAAAAAACGTTTTGTCTGTTAATGTTAATGTACATTTTACTTTAGTTGCAAAAGCTAAGAGACGTTAAAATTGTAAAACAATCATTACTTTAGATTTTATGATGCTACATAATTATATTTTAAAATTCCTTTTATTCCTAACTTAATCGTAGCATCCGTTATTTCTTTTGCTGAAGACGAGCGGATATTTAATTTGTATTATATATTTTTTAGATTAGACATAGAGAGATAGAATCCCAACGACAAATGACTCGTCGCTCGATGTCGAAACGTTTCGACATCGAGCGACGAATCATTTTTCACTGGGATATGATTATGGAAATGATTAATTGCTTATTTATTTGTCAATTATAAGTTGAATAATTATATAATAATTAAATTTAGTTTAATCAAATTGACAAGCGCGTATAGTTTACAAAGCCCCATTACATTTTGTAAATTTAAGATAACACCTCGCGCATGCACACAGCGATAAGTATGCAATGCAACTCTTTTTATAAGCTTCTTTTGCAATCTACATATATGTTAATTTCCTCCTATCTCATTCATTGACTATTATTAGTGCAGCGCAATGTGTTTCACGCATTTTTTCTTATCACTGTTGATTACAGTGCAGATGCATGTTTCATCACGGGTGACTTGAAATGCGCTCATAAAGGCCGAATCAGACTAAGTTGTCGACGCGGATTGGATTGGGATTGGCGATTGGCGATTGTCTTCTAGCCAATGAGAGGAAAGCAACCGGCGATTTAATCTCATTGGCTAGAAGTCAATCGTCAATCGCTAATCCCAATCCAACCCGAGTCGGCAATTGCTAGTCTGATTCGGCCTTAGTTTTATTTCTCAACATACAATCATAGAAAACAGATAATCTCACCACTGCACTTATGACGTCAGCATACTGTATTATTTCCTCGCCGTTCGTCGCCGAATTTGCCACCTCGATGAAAAACTGATCAAATCTCTCCGATTGCAGTTTGATCACGTCAGAATCTCACCCTGGCGAAAATTTTAAGTAAGAGATGACGTTTATATTTATTTATGAAGAGTTTTATCAATAGTTGCATTGTTTATGAAGAGTTTTATTGATGGTTACACCGTTTGGAAGTACGTTGCATACACCTGGTTAATTCTTTACTGACAATAACATTGTACAAACACTTAGAAAACTATAATGGAAACATGTTTGACAGTGTATCATTAAACGCAATTTGAACACTTGTAACCGTGAACATGTCATAAACAACTCCATGTTTAAATTGATATCTCACAAACAATTCAGTAAATGTTTTAAAAAACTCAAATAAAACTTTGACTCAACATTTAAACAAACTTCTTATAAACATATTATTTTCGCCAGGGCACTCGTTTATCTCGCGGCATCAGTACGCGCCAGTACGCGTGATTCACGACAGGGTAGAAGCGCACTAGGAATTTTTCTATCAGTCCATATCAAACATATCTATATCAAATAAATCTAACACATTTTCGCGTAGCGTTATCGATGCCTACGCTAACTTTATTATCCTTGTGTTATCTCCGGGCGGGCGTAACTACGTACCTCAATAATGTATGGCATTTCGATCGGACTATGTTCTCGGGGATTTCGATCGGACTATAATGCTCATTGCCGCGCGTATGCGTCTTCGCACGCGGTATAAGCCGCGTTCGTATTCCGCACGCTAATACGATTTACGAAATGAGAGCCGTACGTCGCGAGGCAGCCGGTTGTTTCGTTAAAATGGTCATCTTAATGATCGACTCCCTCGCCTATTTTATTTTTCCCGGTTGACGGCCTAACAAACAATAAATGTACGACCGGGCTCCATGTCCGCGCGATCATTACGAGCACAATAAAGATATACGGAGTTACGTATTTCTGCTCTGGTTTACAATCAGGGTTGTAAACCAGAGCAGAAATACGTTCTTTGGAGCGTTTTTGAATCGATTCAAGTTTAAAAACCGCTCCGAAAACCGGATGAATGGAGTAAATTATTTAGAATTTGGGATGGAAATAGAACCCAACTGTTGAAATTTGTACACTTTGAGAGAACTTGTCAAATTCTGAATTTTAAAATCGCTCCAGTCAGGAGCATATAAAACCGGTTTTTGAACAGTTTCTTTATTTAAAAAGAAGTAATAAATATAGAACAAAATAATATATAAATTGTATATAATATATAACAAATTACGTATACATGTTATATTATATTGATATACAGGGTGAGTCATACAACATCCGACAAAATTTGTGAGAAGATAGAACGGATCGAGATAAACAGAAGAGTTCTGTACCATTTTGCAATTTTCGCAATAGTTAACGAGTAATTAATTATTAAAATTCGTTGTCTTAGCCCGGTCTACCGCCCAATTCGAGCGCGTGGCGAGATGTGACCGCCCGGTGATCGATATTGCTATGCGTACGGAAAGTTGTTTATTGCAGTCTGCAATGGCTACGCACAAACGGCGCGTAAAATAAATAAGTCAATAAATCAGGTGTAGATTTCATCGGTTACTTTCGCTTTGATTTATGTTTTCTGATCGCAAACGTATAGCCGGCTATCGCGACGCGAGTCTAGGCGCGGTACGACGACGTAAGCTAGCGGACAACGGCGCGCTGTCCCCCCCTCGCCGTATTTTTCTATGTACATGTAATATATACATACATACATATGCACAAATATTTTTATGCCGAATTTCATTTTGATTAAAAAAGGCTAAGGAATTGTTATAGCTCGGAACCCCCGTTCCGAACGAAAGCCTTTCGTTCGATACCGGTTCGATACCGGAGCGTTTTAAATCATAATCAAAATCAGTTTGCTCCGGATCGGAACGATTTTATAATTCCAATTTTGATCCGTTCTCGCGGAGCGAATAAACTTCATTGGTTTGGTTCGATTTATAACTCTGATTACAATTGACTGACCGGATCCGAGTTAGGATGTGTCCCCGCGATACTGTCTCGACTATTCGAAATATTATCTTCAACACCTTCGACACTATCAAGCTCGAAACTTACTGAATAAAATCGTTTAACCTTTAACGAACGAATTGACTCGCTTATCAGCTGGGAGAGTAAAGGACTCGAGTGACAGTCGAGAAGAATTCTGACCTCCGGTCTGCGCGATCGGATGATCCGAGATGGTGTTTTTTTATTTGCGTCTCGACAACATTGTTTTGATCTCGTTTCGGCGATAATATCTGAAAATGTGGAAGTGCATACGACCTCTCACATCGCATTTTAATTTACAATGTTCCTTGTAACTTGTGCCACACGTAAGAAAAACTAAGACATATTTGGGTTGATGCATACGTTCGTCCCGTTTTTAAACATTCGCGCATTTTTATATACGAATTCGATCTGCTATCAACTTCACTCTTATATGACGTACTAAACATTTGAAAGTAGCAATTGAACGGAAACTTTTCCATCAGTTTTGTTGTCATCGATTGATGTTATATATGTGTTACTTGTGAAAATTCAAATTAATGACGGTACGCATAATAATAAAACGCGTAAAATTATCAGTAAAAGAGGAAAACTTATATACCTATACAGCACGATTGCGGGAACATTACAATATTTATAATATTTTATCGCAAGGTCGTAAAATTGCAACATTGCACAAACGTTTAGATATGTTGCTGTAATTCCGAGAAAAAAATTGCTCATGTATGAGTATGCATAAATATATACACTTACATAAAATTATACAACAAATACATCCATTGTATCCATTGTACAGGCAGCCGGCTGACGTAACTTGTCATTTTGACGACATTTGCTATCTGGGTATGAGCTTCTGTGCTGAATGGGTACATGAATACATTGCATTTCATTATCTGATACGAGATAGTAACATATTCTGGCTAATAAATTTTGCATAACCATTGATAATTTTGACAAATGTTTACCTGAGATATTTTTCAAGCGTGCGTCATACAAGTTGAAAAATAGCAATTCGGAGATTTTGTTGAATAAAAAAATGGCAAATGAGGCAGCCAAACAAAAAATATTTTTAGATAAAAAGAGCCGGTAATTTTACAACGTGAATAACTTAAGCATGCACGATAAAAACTTCAGTGTACATATGTATATCTAAATAAAATGCGCATATTTGGTCTGTCACTGAATAGCATGCTAGTTCGAGTAGAAATTGTAGCAACTTATCATCTAGCGTACGTTTGCATTTAATTCCTCGCGTTCTGCTGACAGAATTTGCAAATTTGACACGATATTAAAGGTGAAATCAAATGCGGGTTCTTCACTTTTGCCATCGATTCACGTCAAATTGTGTTCTATTTCTGTTCTGTTAACACAGCACTGACAAAATTGATAGCAAATACTTCGCGAAATCTGCTCTACTTGAACTATCTGTATGTGTGCCGGAAGAAAGAAACGGTTCATCGACACTATCGTGTATTCGAGAAAACACAACGTCACTGCGCGTTATCACAAAGCGCTTGTTTTCTTGCGGAACAGTGAATCGATTAATAATAATGTAAATTAAGCGAAGATCAAACTCGTCAATTACTCATAAATCTTTCATTTTCTTTTTGATTTCATTCAAAGAAATTTTATTTTATTGTATGAAATTTTATCATGTAAATGCATTTAACTTTAGATTCATACAGTTTATTTTGCATTTGCGTTTATTAGATATATTTATAAAGTTCTGTACATACGCTGCAGAATAGTTTGTTATGAAAAAAATTTACACGCGTGCACAGTATCTTTTAATAATTATCTTGCACAAGAGATCCTTTCTAAATTTCTGACTTTTATGTTTTTACTTTACTTATTTTGTGTATTAAAGTTATTATACCGATCAATCTAAAGTAATATCGCATATACATATACAGGGTGGGCCATTTTAATTTATACAGTCGATTTTTTAAAAAA